CATTGGGAAAGTCAGGATGCATTTCTGCATAGAAAAATATGTCACAACTTTCCTGATGACCCAAAAGCTCTATTCTTGGAATTATTCCTGCCCAAAGGCAAGACTAAAAAATTCTCCTGAGTTTGGCCTTAGGATTCTGGAATTCAAGGTTGGATCATGACTATTAAAAAACAGCAGTGAGGGCCAGCAGGTGGTGTGGTGGTCAAGGTGTTGGACTCCTATGTGGCCGACTGAAGTTCAAGTCCCAGACCGGGTGGCTTGCTTTCTCACTTTCTTTCTTGCTCTCTCTTTCTCTTGGTGGGCACGTGTGCCCTATGGCATGTTAATAATAATAATAATAAAAAAAATAAGATAAGTAATTCTTTTTTTCTTTTTTTTTTTTTTGAGAGGTTTTCGCTATAGGGTGCGTGCGCTAGCCAGACAGACAGAGAGAGACAGAAAGCGAGAAATCACCCCCCAGGGGGGATGGTCACACCGCAATCCCTTCTCCTCCATTCTCCTCTCGGGATCTTGGGCACGCACACACACGCGCCGGGTGTGAGTTTTAAGCCACTGGGTCCAGGACACAAACCGCGATCGACTACGTGGGAGTCCAGCAACATAGCCATTACGCTAACTGCTGGTCCCCAAAATAAGTAATTTAAAAAAAAAAAAAAAAAAAAAGCAAGTAGGAGTGAGGGAGTGAGTAGTGGGAACCCAGGTCTAAATCTGTCATCCTTTTCCCTGCCTCCTCCACCTAGCTCCCCCATCTAGTGGCAGGGTCTTCTCCAGCCTACACCCCACCCTGCAACTCTTTCAGATTACTTCTATCTAACAAAGGGAAGGGGAAACTAGATGCATTTATGAGGGTTAAACACAAAAGATCCAGTAAATTTTGTATGTTTAAAATGAATAAGTAAGGCTAAAACCTTTCTTTGTGTGTGTGTAGAACTTCTTTAGCCATTGTGTAACGTCAGGTCCACCATATTTAGAACAGGAATGTTTGTAGTGGAAGGACTCAGCCGTTATCCAACATCCAAGACAATTCTCTTATTCCTTTTTTCTTTTCTTTTTCTTTTTTGGAGGGGTTTTTGCTATAGGGCACGTGCGCTCGCCAGATATAGAAAGACAGAGAGACTGAAAGCGAGAAATCACCTCCCAGGGGGGATGGCCATGCTGCAATCCCTTCTCCTCATTCTCCTCTCGGGATCTTGGGCACGCACGTACACACGCCCGGTGTGAGTTTTAAGCCACCGGGTCCGGGACGCGAACCGCGGTCGACTACGTGGGAATCCAGCGACACAGCCATTACGCTAGCTGCTGGTCCCACAATTCTCTTATTTCGCAGGTGAGAAAACGGGTCCAGGTAAATGGAGATGTGCACAGGTGCATCCTGTGTTTCTCAGGGAAACACACTTCCTTGTCCCCAAGCCACAGGTCTTTCTTGCCCAAGAAAGTGTCTACTGGTCAGAAAGAAAAGTAAAATGGAGCTTTCTTGACATAGTTTTCCTGGATTGACCTTAACTAGGGTCAGTTCTGTCCCTCCAGGTGTGAGAGTCAGGCTGCAGGATGTAACTGACTCCAGCAAAGGAAGCCAGATTGGACTAATATGGAGCGGATTTAGGAGCCATTTGAGAAAAAATTCCAGAGCGTAGGAATAACTGAACTCTGGATGGAGACAACAGCCACAGGAATGGGAGTGGCTTTTCTGTGGGACTTGGTTCTTTGGTACTTCTTAGAGTCAAGGGAGTGGATTAGGTGGTCTTTTAAAGGTTCTGTCCTATCCACAGACTTTTACTGAGTTAGGTAATATAATAAAGGGACATCTAGTCTGAAATGCTCCCCACACCAGTGTTAACTGGAGCTTTATAAGGGAAAGTTCAGAGCTTCTAGCTTCTCCTGCCTCCTCTGATATGCAGAGATTAGCGCCATGGGGAAAGAAAGGCAGCTGGTGTAGCTTGTTGGGGAAGAAATGCATACTACTACAATGGTAAGCCGTGAAAATGGATCAGAACCTCCCACAAGAGTGGAGAAAGACCACAGAACCAGTGTGGCAAGGCATTCTCACTAAAGTAAATGCTGATATTAGCTTTTAGTGATGGCGAAAGGGATGAAGGGTCGGTTTAAAAAATACAGGTGGTGTTCCTTCCCCCTGTTCTTTGTGATATCCTAAAATTACGATAGCCACGGTAACCACAGACAGCTCTGTACAGCAGGACAGGTCACCGCACAGAGCCTTCTAACTGGAGGAAAGGGACCCCCAGTGAGAAACCATTAACAAAGGCAAAAGACATGCAAAACAAACAAAATAATCATGACAGAGAGAAGGACCAGCAGACAGTCTGGCTCTGTTCTTTCCTGCTCCTGCTGCAGGCACCTCCAGACAATGTAAACAGTTAATTTGTTCACCTGCAGGCTCTGGGCAAACAGAGGCCTGGTCACACCTGAGTGGATAACTCGATTACCCCTGTAATGCCAGCGTGGTAATGTACACAAATTCTATTACACAGCAAACCTTGCTTTCGGGCATTTGAAATACCAATCAGGCCAATGTCCACTCCCTTCTTTGCTTCCAATTTATTCTCGGTGTATTAGAGCTGCACCGAAATGGCACTAGCATGGTGCTGAGTTAGGAATCCAGGAGAAATCACTCGGAGATTGTGCTGTCTCTTACCCAGCAAGGCCTGCAGGCTGCCTAGTCTCTTACAAAGGGTTGGGTCTGAATTTGGTTCTTGTTTAAAGGGGCCTGATTCATTGGCACCACTGAAAGGTACCTTAGGTCAGACCTCGTCTATTTCCTAAAGAGCTTCAAACCAAGACAAACCCTTGTCCAAGGCAGTAACATTCACAGAATAAACAAACAGTAAATGATCGTTAGTAATACAGTGGGTTTTCAATTTTCCTTTATGGAATCCACATACTCAACAATTAAAGAGCAAATTGTGACTATTTCAAAAACATGTTTGTAAATATTGATTGCATATTGAGAGGACTTTAGGGTGCGTGTGCTTGTCAGAAAGACAGAGAGAGACAGAAAGTGAGAAATCACCCCCCAGGAGGGATGGCCAAGCCTCAGTCCCTTCTTCTCCATTCTCCTCTCAGGATCGTGGGCATGCACGCACATGTACCCGGCGTGAGTTTAAGCCACTGGGTCTGGGACTTGAACTGTGGTAGACTATATGAGAGTCCAGAGACATAGCCATTACGCCAACTGCTGATCCCAAGGGGACTTTTTAATAATTTATTTTAGAGACATAACTTATTATCTTAGCTCAGTTATAAAATATGTCTGGTTTTTCTTTACAAAGTTGATAGTACTGAACTTCCAAACTATAGCCTGTGAGTTCTAATTTTTTTTGTTGTTGAGAGATTTGTGCTGTAGAGCGTGTACGCTTGCTAGAGAGACAGAGAGACAGTGAGAAGTCACTCCCCCCCCCCCAAGAAGGAGGATGACCATGCCGCAATCCCTTCTCTTCCATTCTCCTCTTGGGATCTTGGGCACACACATACACGTCCCCAGCATGAGTTTTAAGCTGCCGTGTCTAGGATTAGAACCGTGGTCAACTATGTGGGACTCCAGCGATGTAACCATTTTGTCATCTGCTGATCCCCTGAATCTTTTTTCACATCAGTGATGGCTCTGCAATAATCCATCCTTTTTATTCCTTTTAAAATCTAGGTTTTTTTTTTTTTTTTTTTGGAGAGATTTTTCACTGTAGGGCGCATGCGCTCGCCAGACAGACAGAGAGAGACATAGAGACAGAAAGCGAGAAATCACCCCCCAGGGGGGGATGGTCACGTCGCAATCCCTTCTCCTCCATTCTCCTCTCGGGATCTTGGGCACGCACGCACACGCGCCCGGCGTGAGTTTTAAGCCACCGGGTCCAGGACGCGAACCGCGGTCGACTACGTGGGAGTCCAGCAACATAGCCATTACGCTAACTGCTGGTTCCCTAAAATCTAGGTATTTTATGATCAGTAATATTATTTGTGAGATGCTTAGCTGGGGCTAGAGTTAACTTATGACTGAGGAAGAGAATGAAGTCAGCTGGCCTGTGTGGGACTGGATTCACAATCTTGGCCTTATCGGCACTTACTCAAACCAAGTGAGCTAACAAGCTCTGATTCCTCTGTCCATATGTAATTATATCAGTCATGTTTATCTATAAATGAAGTAAGGCAGCTTACCTAGTTGGAATATTTTCAGTCGTATTGTATGATAATAAATTATGTACATAGTGATGAACTGTAACCACTAACAATCTTGAAAAGATCAAATTTTAATCAGCATAGTTTTGGTACAACGTCTATATAGTTTTAAAATTTGTGCCAAAGCAGACATGTGCTCACAGGAGAGAGATGAGAGAGAAAGTGAGAAAGCATCCCCCATGACGCATGGTCACAGTGCAATCCCTTCTCCATTTCTCCCTCCTTTTGGGATTTTAGGCACACATGCCTGGTGTTTCTTAAGCCACCAGGTCCAGGATGCTAGCCATGTGGTTGGCCATGTGGGAATCCAGCTGCCTTAACCACCAGGCCATAGGCTGGCCCAGGATTATGTCTATTTTACTGTATTTTTTTAAATTTGAAAACCGGTTCCTAAATCTGGAAGCAGTGCACTTGCCATAGAGAAAGACAGCAAAATAGAGAGACAGAGAGAGAGAAAGCACCAGTGGGGTGTAGTCTCACTGCAATCCCTTCTTCTCCATTTCTCTATCCTGTCAGGATTCGGGGCACACATGTCTGGTGTGTTCTTCAAGCCTCTGGGGCTGGGATTTGAACAGTGGTTGACCATGTGGGATCTGGGTCCCTTAACCACTAGACCATAGGGCCAGCTGTTACTCTGGATTTTAAATGAAAAATTTCCCTAACAATTATAAAAAAGTGGGAGTTTACGCATGAGAGGGCCGTGTAGTTCACATAAAGAAGTATATGACATGGAATAATTTTGGTCAAGGTGACTATATCATCAAGAGTAAAAAAACCGACTTTTGATCCAGCCCTATACTCCATGTCCTTACCTTGCTCAGAATGCGGATGAGGTCACCGCGTTGGAAGGACAGTTCATCTGGCTGGTCACCATGGCAATCCCACAGGCCCTGGTAATAACTGGCATAGTCTGCTGATCAAAGAGAGAAGAAAGCAAAGTTAAAAGGACTCTTTTTTTTTTTTTTTTTCCTAAGAGCCCACATATTTTCTGCAAAGGGAAAATGGGGTTCTGATATTGCCCCTAGGAAACCTAAGATTCAGGGAGGTCGAGGTAAGATACAGACAAACACTCGGTGTGAGCAAAGCACTGTGGGAGAAGGAGATCATTAACATTAAATATTTACAGATCACCCCTAGTAGGATGCTGTTCAACAATATGATAGATGTATTTATTTATTAATAAAAGGAAATCAGGCAGGTAATTTTTCATTTAGTTTGTAAGTAAGCAACACACAGAGGTTTCCTGCCAGACTTTCTTGATCAGGATGTCTTAACGATCTAGGGCTTCTCTTCACTGTGAGTTTGACAGATCAGGGTAAGTCTCCAACTTCAGCCTGTCCACAAGAGAAGCTGCATTAGCTCCCATGTGTCCACAGAGCAGCTCAGATTTCGGCCTCCCCTGTTACATAGGAACTGGGCACTTCCCACCCAGGTACTATGTGAGGTAATCACCAATAAATACTGAAACGAATAGCCCAGTCTTTAAGTGGAACCAAGGGGGTGTCTCATCCATTACAACTAAATTCTGGGTGGGCTGGCTCTTTTCCAGCATCTCATTTGTAGACCCTGAACATGTCTGCCAAGATTTATCTGCAAGCCCCCAGGGGAACAGAAACCAAAGTGATCTGCATTAAAAATGAAAGCAACCAAAGACGACAGACCAAGCTTTAGAAGCAGCTGGAGAGATTTACTGAGCTTCTCAGCGAGACGAGATGGCAATGATGCCACAGGACAGCCATCGATTCGTAACAATGAAGAATTTGTATTGATCTTCCTTTACCCGGAAAGGTTAAACACTGGAGTACAAAGTGGGAGAAGACCTGGGGATTTGAATGGCAGGAGAGCTAATGCCCACGAGACCAAGGGTGCTTCCCGTTCCATAGAATGCTGGGTATGAAGGTGTAAACGAAGCACTACCAAAGAGGAAATTCATTCCATGGGATTCAGGAGTCCTGCATTCTAACCAAGATTCACGTGATCTGGGGGACTCTATCTGACAGGGTTCTGCCTTTCCCTTCATTGGTCTTGACCTTCCCATGAGCAGTGGCGGTATTGGTTACTGATGATGGGAAGGGCAAGTGGGTAGTAGGGACAGAAACCTGGGTAAATTTGCTTTTTTCCTTTTTGTTCCTAACTTACGAACAATTCAAACGATAAAGGCACAAAGAAACAAACTCCCTATTTGTCTCTGAAAAGGAACTTGAGTGGGAATCTTAAAGTGCACAAGAACAGAGGAGGGCTAGAACGATTTAGTTCAGATTCAGATACTGTGGGACCAGTGGATGGCGTAATGGTTATGTCGCTGGACGCTCACATTGGGGCACACGTGCGTGCGTGCCCAAAATCCCAAGAGGAGAGTGGAGAAGTGATTGCAGTGTGGCCATCCCTAGGGCATGAGTTCTCATATTGTGTCTCTCTGGCGAGTACACATGCCCTATAGCAAAAATCTCTGGATGCTGTTCAACAATATGATAGATGTATTTATTTATTAATAAAAGGAAATCAGGCAGGTAATTTTTCATTTAGTTTGTAAGTAAGCAACACACAGAGGTTTCCTGCCAGACTTTCTTGATCAGGATGTCTTAACGATCTAGGGCTTCTCTTCACTGTGAGTTTGACAGATCAGGGTAAGTCTCCAACTTCAGCCTGTCCACAAGAGAAGCTGCATTAGCTCCCATGTGTCCACAGAGCAGCTCAGATTTCGGCCTCCCCTGTTACATAGGAACTGGGCACTTCCCACCCAGGTACTATGTGAGGTAATCACCAATAAATACTGAAACGAATAGCCCAGTCTTTAAGTGGAACCAAGGGGGTGTCTCATCCATTACAACTAAATTCTGGGTGGGCTGGCTCTTTTCCAGCATCTCATTTGTAGACCCTGAACATGTCTGCCAAGATTTATCTGCAAGCCCCCAGGGGAACAGAAACCAAAGTGATCTGCATTAAAAATGAAAGCAACCAAAGACGACAGACCAAGCTTTAGAAGCAGCTGGAGAGATTTACTGAGCTTCTCAGCGAGACGAGATGGCAATGATGCCACAGGACAGCCATCGATTCGTAACAATGAAGAATTTGTATTGATCTTCCTTTACCCGGAAAGGTTAAACACTGGAGTACAAAGTGGGAGAAGACCTGGGGATTTGAATGGCAGGAGAGCTAATGCCCACGAGACCAAGGGTGCTTCCCGTTCCATAGAATGCTGGGTATGAAGGTGTAAACGAAGCACTACCAAAGAGGAAATTCATTCCATGGGATTCAGGAGTCCTGCATTCTAACCAAGATTCACGTGATCTGGGGGACTCTATCTGACAGGGTTCTGCCTTTCCCTTCATTGGTCTTGACCTTCCCATGAGCAGTGGCGGTATTGGTTACTGATGATGGGAAGGGCAAGTGGGTAGTAGGGACAGAAACCTGGGTAAATTTGCTTTTTTCCTTTTTGTTCCTAACTTACGAACAATTCAAACGATAAAGGCACAAAGAAACAAACTCCCTATTTGTCTCTGAAAAGGAACTTGAGTGGGAATCTTAAAGTGCACAAGAACAGAGGAGGGCTAGAACGATTTAGTTCAGATTCAGATACTGTGGGACCAGTGGATGGCGTAATGGTTATGTCGCTGGACGCTCACATTGGGGCACACGTGCGTGCGTGCCCAAAATCCCAAGAGGAGAGTGGAGAAGTGATTGCAGTGTGGCCATCCCTAGGGCATGAGTTCTCATATTGTGTCTCTCTGGCGAGTACACATGCCCTATAGCAAAAATCTCTCTCTCAAAAAAAAAAAAAAAGATTCAGATTCTGCAAACGGAAGTATAAATTTCACCCATCTAGAAACTCAGGCATGTTTTCTTTACACAGAAAATTGTTTGTATATGCAGCTGACAATAGAGGGCAGCAAACAGGATAAGAACAGTGAAAACATTCTGCTACAGAGTTAGGAATATGTTTGGAAGGAAAACATACTGACAGAAAATGCTAACTATGGGAAACCATACATTTTTGGGAATATCAGTGCATGAAATAATAGAGAAATACCAGTCTCTGAAAAGTGAAGGTATTTTTCCCAGAGTATCTATTACTGCATTTGTAGTTCAAATAGAGTTGATTAATTCCCAAGATTTTGAATAAATTTATGAATAAAAACACATCAACACCAATATTCTTCATCAACTTTATATATGGTAGAGAAAACCATTTTTATACAAATACATTTAAAAAATATTATCTGCTTTTTTCTGTTTGCTGGTTGTTTGGATGAGTTCTTATTGTGTCTCAATTCTGCCTCCGCCCCCTGAGACGCTGGAACTACAGGCACACGCCACCATGTCTGGCTTTGTAAGTGTGGGTTGAGAACTGAACTGAGGCCTCCTCTATAGCTTCAGCCGGTCGAGGGGCAGCATTGACCAGTGTGAACTAGTGCAGCTGGGCCTAAAACATAATTTGATATTTCTTCCTTAAGAGTAAGAAGACTGACAAGATCGTCTTAGCTTTTTCTGGCCTAGTGGATAGTTGCTTTGGGGTAGTGCTCCTCTCAGTGTGCCTGGATATGGGATAGCTCCTAAGATGATGGTAATTTTGAATATATATGTAATAAGTGATTTAACAGTGGGAATATATGAGACCTGGGAAAAGACCTATGTCAAAAGCATAGTAGATAGAGCTATGAGGAAAACAGAAGCAAACCTTCCAGGAAAAAATAAAGAGAAAAGGCCTTTGGTGCTAAAGGCCAACAGAAGATAAGAAGATAAGCGTTTGGGAATCCAGGGGACAGTTTAGCCTCGGTAAAGAATAGAGATCTTTAGAACTAGAACCATTATGAGCCAGCTCTGAAACAGAAGGAGAATGAAGGGCTGAAAACTGGGAAAAGGCTGGACTTGCCATCTAGAGAGGATCCTGGTATTAAGAAATCAGTGAGGAGTCATTCCTTAGCTGGACAAGACTGAATTCCCTATTGCAGACTCACTGTTTAATATATGTGCGATCTGCATTTATGTGTACGTATGCACACGACTTTACTAATTTATTCTTCAGTAGTTAATAAATATATACACAGCACCTGTTAAATCCCCACGGGCCACACACGTCCACTGCTCTCGTGGCCACCATGTTGTGGGGGAGGTACCATGGAACAAACAGTTACACAAATATTTATCTATTTATGGTTGCGATTATGTCTTTGAAGAAGGAATTGAGGATGCTGTGTATAATAGGGAATATCATATAGTCTGAGGGGCCAGAGAAGGCTTTTCCTTTTTTTTAAAAACTTAATTTTATTTATTGATTATTATTCTTTGATTTGAGCAAAGAGAGACAGAAAGAGAAAGCAAGCCACCAGATCCAGGACTTGAACCATGGCCCACCAGGTGGGAGTCCAGCACCTTAACCCCCACACCACCTGCCAGCCCCCAGGGAAGGCTTTTCTTTTTTTTTTTTGGAGAGGTTTTTGCTATAGGGCACGTGCCCTTGCCAGACAGACACAGACAGACAGAGAGATAGAAAGCGAGAAATCACCCTCCAGGGGGCATGGCCACGCCGCAATCCCTTCTCCTCCATTCTCCTCTCGGGGTCTTGGGCACGCACGCACACGTGCCCGGTGTGAGTTTAAGCCACTGGGTCTGGGACTCGAACCGCGGTCGACTACGTGGGAGTCCAGTGACATAGCCATTACACTAACTGCTGGTCCCGGGAAGGCTTTTCTGAAGCTGTAGTTGTATGATAAAACACGGACCAAGGAGGTGTTATTTAAAGACCATTAAAAGAGGAAGATGTAGTTTTGAATTTATATTGTTTCATCCCATGTACAAAACCATTTTTTTCCTATGAATAGTTTTTTTTTTTTTTTTTTTTCTGCGTTGGGCAATTGTAAAGGAAAGCAGAATGTTTTATCATGATTTTTGCTTTGATGACTTTAGGACAAA